GAGAGAGAGAGAGAGGAAGGCAGATCGCCTATTGGTTTCGCGCGACCGTTAACGGTCTTGTCGGTCTATTTCGATCGGCGTGGCCCCTGCAACAAAAATCGAGGCGCCTCGCTTTACCTGTTATCAATTAACTGTTAACGTTGCTGCGGAACCGTAAGTGGCCTGCGTGCGCTATCGAAGCGGCGGCCTCTTTCTCTATGAATAATGTATCTCGGTTCGGGGAATTCGTGGCATTTAATCATTGAATCGTTAAGAAACGGGCTGACGACTCGAAAGAGATTTATTAACGTTCCCCACGAGTATTCTTCTGCACTGTCACGAGGGTGATGGTCCCCTTCGATCGTTCGATTTTCGCGTCGTTTGTCGATGATCTCGCACGATTTTCTTTTCCCAGAAATGACGGGTACTTCGTCGGCCGCCATTTGGAAATGATGGAGGATGCAGTGGAAACGATTTAGGGTTAGGTTGGTTGTGACAGAAGATGTATGAGGAAAAAAAAAGAAAATTGCAAAAAATTTTTGAGAAGAGAAAAGAATGGGCACAGAATTAATTCTGATATCACGGATTGGATATATTTCTCATTAATGGAGGTCGTAAGATAATGTAATTCTTAACGGACGCGACATCGTTGTAAATTTTATTATGGATAATTGCGTTGTTCGAGATCTTGTTCTATAGAGATATATCAATTCTTATAAACTCGCTTATATTGAGACGATATATATAAGATGGTCCATATGTACGATGAAGAAGCGAAACTGGAAACGAGATTCATCGGATAACGAACAATAAAATAAATTAACAGCTTGTTTCATTAATGATCCGGAAAATTCATTGCGAATATTTATTATTCTGCAGCAGTTGTTTGACTCCGATGCAATTAATAGCTAAAGGATATGTTCATAATTCCTTTGAATAAGTGCATAAATAATAGTTATGATAATATAATAATCAAGCGAGATAATTATTTCGATAGTTGTTTATGAGACGAGCAATATTTAATCTCTAAATTTTCTATCTACAAATTATAAACGTCATGTAAATTTCAACAATTTTTATTAATATTCGTTTTATTAAAACTCGTTTAACATTTACCGTCGCAAAATGCTGTAACAATATCGCACAATATGTAACAATAATAACAACATCCTCTAATTAGTAAACGTCGTATCAGAATTTTATGATTTCGAAATTGAAACCTCTCTGATATTTTCTACGACTCGAAATTTCTTCTGTAAATAATTTGATTCCTAGACACATCCCTACAAAGGAAACTAATAAATATAATTACTCCAAAAATTCCGATATTAAATTTAATTCAACATTCCTAAGGGAAGAAAGAAAGAAAATAAAATAATCATTCCAAGAAATATTCCAAGAAATATTCTTTCAAAAAGGAAAAAGATAGAACGGTCGCGAAACCTTCCAAGTTCACGAGTCTAAGAATCCATTTGGAAAAGGTTCCGAATCTATCCCCGACTCGGCCTATAAATAATCGACTGATATCCACCACGGATAAATTCCAGAAATTTTCGCGTAAATCGAGCGATCACCTTGCGCGGAGGTTATCTTGGGGATCCTTGGAATGGGCGCAGCCCAGTCCTACGCCGCGTAAATTTATGAACGAGGAAACGGCGTGGATCGCGGCCGAGGAGGCATAGGTTTCCTCGGTTGTGTCTCCTCGTTGAGCGGCAGAACGAACCGTTCGGTGATATAAGGACGAGCGTGGGCGACGCTCGCTTTTCAACCGCGGATCGCAAGCGCGACTTCGAAACTGGTTCCAAGCGAATTAGACGGCCGCGAGGTGTCCTCCTCCTTCTCCTCCTCCTCCTCTTTCTCGCCGAGGTGAAACTGCTCGTCGTCGCTGGTGCGTTACGGAAAACGATCTATGGACCCATTCGTTACTCCTCCTCCTCCCTCCCTTTTTTATCCGCCCATCCGCCCGCAGAGAGATGGACCGATTTCTTCCGTTCGTAATTCCTCTCGGGCATAAATTCTACACTTTGTGAGGGGGATTTGATTTAATTCTCGGTGGCAGGCCCCCGTCGTTAACCAGGATTTCGCATTCGAAAGACGTATCGTCGCGGGATAAAGACGGATCGCGAACAATGTCGCGAGGGTATTGAACTGAAATTTCAATTTCACTCGGGCAATGATTCGTCGAATAGGATTTTTTACACTAACAATTTGGAAAGTATTTGTTAGATTTCGTATTGTATTTACATTTACGGTCATTTTCGCGAATAAAATTTTGTCGTCAAAGTTAAAAAGATCTGTTGAATCTTATGATTCATAGAAGCGGACTGAAATGAATCGAAATTGAACCTGTCTTCAACGAAAGGATATTCGTCAAGTGGATTTCCTATTAAGATTAAAAATATCTAGATCAAAGGATTGACTATTCCGAAACGATTGCCAGGAAAATCTCAGGAGTACGAACCAAGATTTCGTCGACGACTCTACATTTACGTCCTTGAGTATTATTTATCTCAAAACGATCAAACGTTAAATAATCCCCTCCCTCAAAAACGAGTGGTGGAAAAATCGCAGGAGTACGAATCGAAATTTGATCGACCGCATAACAGAACGAAGCGAGATATCTCGATGAATTTCAATGTTCGATTCACAGGACGGGATACTCATAAATATTCAAAGGCGGCAGGTGAACCCCTTTTGCAACGGAACCCGAAGGAAGACAAATAGATTTACCTTATGCGTCATTCCATGACCTTGAAGCCGTTAGGGTAGCTGGCTGCACTTCCGGTCAACTCCAATTTCTCACTTTTCCACCTGTTTCCCGATTCTTCTCGCTTCTTTTTTCTCCCTTTCTCTTTATCCCTTTCTTTTATCTTCTCTTCTCCTTTTTTTCTTTCTTCTTTTTTTTTCTCGTCAAACTCTTTTCCGCGTTCCACGATGCATGTAAACAGTTCGACGCGTTCACCACGGGAGAGAAAAGAGAAGATAGCCGGTCGGTCGAAGGGAGGAACAGAAGAAGAAGAGGAAGAAGAAGAAGAAGAAGAAGAAGAAGAAGAATAAGGTGGAAGAAAACGAAGAGGGGAACGGTATATAATATATATATATATATATATAGAAAGAGAGAGAGGGCACACCTGGTTTTTCAACAACGGCACACTAATCCCCGCACTCTCAGAGCACTTCTTCTTCCTCTTCCTCTTGATTCTTCGACCGATGAGATTCTATTACAGATGGTATCCAGATCGAAACGTCCGATCGTACATCTCGAAAACACGATGCTCGCGAGGATCGGCGACGATTACAGGAAACAGTCTCCGTGCCTCGTAGTGGCGGCGGCGACCACGTGTTCGACCGACAGACACCTTCCCTCGCTCTCTTTCGCCGCGTGTCACGCGGCCCACGTTTTTCGGCGCCGATTCCTTCCAACTTTTCAACCACCAATCCGATCGTCGATCGATCGACGTTGAACGAATAATAAAGTTATCCCGCAAATTATCCTTCCTCCTGTTCCGTTGACTAGAGAGAGAAAGTGTGTATGTGTGTGTGTGTGAGAGAGAGAGAGAGGGAGAGAGAGATGCTCTGCCAAGTTCTTCTCACGCTCGTTTCGAAACAACAAGTTGGACCACGTTATTATTGCACGATGCGATCCGATCGCACCCTTCGTCTCGTCTCGTCTCGTTATCCTGATAACGGCGAGGATAACGCCGCGTGTTCTCGTCTCCCCCGAACGTGCACGCGTGTTGCGTCGCGCGGATGCGGTGGCGTCGACGGGACAGCCGAGTCCTGACTGCTCGGGGTCCCTCTCGGTTGCGAGAGCGATCGCAGAGAAACGGAAGGAGCGAAACCACGTTGCTCAGCACCGTCCGGCGATCGTTTGGTGCTCCTTGTCCAGGTCCTCTCTCGAGGCGTGTGATATCCCCCCCGTCGGCTCGCCTCGTGGACGAAGCGGAATATCGGCGAGCGCTCTCGGAGGAGATTCGTGAGACGCGGCTCGCTGCGAGCCGTGGCGGGTGACGGGGAGAGTGGTGGTGGCGGCGGCTTGGCGTGGCGCGCGGCGAGACGAGACGATTCTCGGGAGGAGGAGGAGGAGGAGGAGGGAGGAAGAGGAGGGAGGAGGAGGCTGTGTGTACGGTGGTGAGTAAGCCGAGAGAGTATTCAACGCCGTGTGTATCTATCGGTGAGCAAAGCTGCGTGGCGCGAGGAGAGGAGGTCGGCGTGGTCGCGAGACACGGGGAGGAAAGAGAGGCGGTGGAAGGAAGAGGGAGGGAGAGGAAAGTAGACCAAGCCGGTCGGATGGAGCGAGAGGAGGGCAGGCGGTGGAAGCGAGACGGTGGAAGCGAGGAGGAGATGGCGAGGAGAGCGCACGCACACAAAGGTAGAGAGGAGAGCCGGTGAGCTCTCCGTGGTGGATTGGGCGGGGAGAGCGAAGCCGTAGGTTGGTGGCGGGTAGGTTGGTAAGTAGGTAGGTAGGTAGGTAGGTAGGTGAACCACGAGGAACACGCACGGCGCGGTTGTTCGGCGGCTGTGTTGCTGGTAGCCTGTTGGGTGGATGGTAGGCCCAGGTCCAGGTAGGAAAAGGTGTGCGGAGATAGCGCGGCAACGAGCTAGCGCTCCCCTGCGCGTTTAACCGTGAGAGACGTCGGGAAGGTAAGTGCTCTCCTCTCTTTCGGCCAAGGAGAGTAGCAGCAGCACCACGCCGGCACGCGACCTGCCCTCTCCCACCCCCTTCCTTTCTCGCTCACCCGATCTCCTCCTCTCTTTCTCTCCTCTTTCTCTCCGATCCTCGCCTTCCTTTTGCCGCACCGCCGCCTCTCCTTCTAACGCCGCTCTTTCCTCTTTCTACTGGCGGCTTCCTCGCCAACACGCTCTCTCTCTCTCTCTCTCTCTCTCTCTCTCTCTCTCCTTCCCTCTCT